AAAAAAAAAAAAAAAAAAAGATCCGTGAAGACCTGCCCTGCACGCAGCCTCAACAACACGCGGCAGATGCATGCCGGACGACGAGAAAGCATCGGGTTCTTAGTCAGGCACACAACAGGCTGCAGAGGCCTGCACTTGGCAAACTTTAATTCGAGTCAAGCCCAGGCATGAGACTGGTGGAAGAACTGCGCGACGAGCCACCTGTGGCAGATGTCTTTCCGGCAATGACACAGTGCCCCTGGTCGCAGTACAAACCATCTCCTCAGGTTGTTGCACGCAAGCAGAAGACTGCAAGCACTGCAATACAAATACTCAGAATACCAACACTTATATATAGGACAAATAGTAATCAGAAGCTGGGAACAGATCATGTAGTCCAGAAGGCAATCCAAGGCTCCGTTGGCAACTCGCACAATCGTGTGGCTGACAGCATAACCAAACACATCGCCCGGGACATTCCAAAGACTTTTCCTTGCAGGAGGTCTGAGGGCAACACTAGTGTGATCAACCGCGCTTACTTTATGATACTTCATCGGTTCCAAGTCCACTTTTCCACAAGTTTTACCAGTGTTCCTCGTGATTGGATCTCTGCTTCAGATGGCTGTCTTCAGCTTCTCTGTTGAAGTTGAGAATGTTGCCCTTCCTTCTGCAGGATTTAAGTTTGAGCGCCCTGCCACCATCTAGAGATTCCACGTTCCTCGATGTGCGCGCGACTGTCCGCCTTAAGGCCTGCGCATGCAGCCCACTGCAGCCTACTCCTTGCACCCTATCATCCACTCCGCCACCTACCTGGGCTTGCATGGAAACCTATCACGGACTCTGGTGTCTATTTGAAACCTTGTCCTTTTTTGTTATTCCTTATCGCTTTACAGTGGATGCTCCTTAATCCATATGCTAATCCTGCAAATATGAAACCGCATTATTGTTTATTCCCTATTCCTTTTTTCACACTGAATCTGCCACATAGGGCCGCCCTTACTGAATTTTCTACAACGAGGTTTTGAACCAAGACCACCTCACATTCGCATTGAGACAATAGGGAATGAAACGGAATACTCACGTCGTCGCGGGCAAGCCGCCTTACAGGCTAAATCTCGGTCTTGAGTGGCACCAGCCGGATCCCCAACACCTTCTGCGCTCATCAAAGTACAGGTGCCATGACGAGGCGTCCCATGGTTGTGTCTGACAGCAATTTGGACACTCGCCAAATGGAGGTCAAGAACCATGAGGACAATTTCAGGCAGAATCGGTACAAGTATGAGCTCTGAAATTTCTCACAAGAAACAGCTAGCCCCCAATATCTATGTGATGTTACTTGCATCAAATCGATTCAGTGGCATAGATGGCAGAGCACTTTCGGGGACTGGGCCCTTTGTGCACCTCTTGCTTAGCAACAGCCATCGTATGCCATCGTATACACCCTGCTAGAACCTCGTTTCACGGGCTTCTCGGGACAGGGGCTTGCTGCATCCTTTCTGCTGAAAAATGCAAAGCTTGCCGGACCACTACGCAACAACGTTTTTGCGTGGAACCACTCGCCAGTGTTCGAAGTGCAACTAAATTTCGAGGCATGTGGTCTCAAAGAGCAAGAACCCGCAAGCGAAAGCCCGGCAGTGGAGCCATCCAGCAGGTTCTCCTCCTGAAGAGCAGGCAATGGCACTTTATAAAGCTCTGCTGGCAAATTGGAAGCTCCAACTTACTGGGGAGTAGTAGGGAATAAGGGAATATATTACATACTGGGATTATATTCCTTTATACCCTACTAACAGCCAGAACGCCAAGCAATCTAACATAATGTAACAATCTCAGGCTGAGACCAACATGGGATTGGGCTCGTACGTCATGGCAAAATCACTGGAAGCGGCCATGGCACCAGCACTCCTAGTCAATCAAGCAGTCTTAGGAATTCGAATCAAGGCTATGTGGGCGGTTATACAGGGTTGTATAACAAGAATGGAAAAGAAAATGGCTACTACTATGTTATAGGAGGCTGAAAGTTTCGGCTAAGGGGATTGGTCTGTTCTGATGGCGTCAGCTTGCAGGATCCCAAACCCTAGCTCCTATATTGGAGAATTATACAAATGAAGTTGAAGATGATATGCGGAAATCCCCTCAAACAGGCAGTTTCGCTTGTGTTGCTGTGGAAATGTTTGCTCCACTTCCCGAAGCCCTAACTAGAGCCAACTCTATGTCAATTCAAACCCTAAACCCTAAACTGGCCTTTGGGTAGTCCCTATATAACCCATCATAGTCGTTTCCATGTTTTTCCATTCCTTTCATTCCCAGCTAACCGAAGGCCGGTAATTCAACCCTAGTGTTTCAGTCCCTGCCTCCCCATGTAGAGCAGCTCTCCTTCCTGAACGCGCTGCTTTATCATCTCGCCCAATTGTGGGGCAAACTTTTTGTATACGAAACCTGAGGCCGTGGAGCATCTTTGTCTGCGTGAGCCTTCTATGATATGGTTGCCCAGACGAATTGAGCTAACCCCAATATATACCCTATTATAATATTGTAGTTTCCATTGTCTTTTCCATTATCCTTATATAACCCCTATACAGCCCCAATATATGTAGACCTGGTGCCAAGAAGCCCAATACATCCGGGTTTCCGCCATTTGCAAGTAGAAGGCTTGCCTGTCAGGAACTCGACACCGCCAGTAGCTGAATTCGTCTGGGCAACCATGAGTAGGAATCATAGTCCCCCTTCAGTAGATATAGGGATAATGGAAAAGAAAACGGAGACTGCTAAGTATATTCGGGTTATATAGACTTATATAAGGATATAGTCCCCCTTAAGTAGATAGAATATGGCTTTAGGTATATTAGAATAAGATCCCCATATACCCCATATTCTATCTACTTGAGGGGAACAATATGTCTCTACAGCAGCATGCTACTTGCTGCCTCTTTGAGCATGCCTTCAAACCTGAGCTTGATTCACACTGGCAATGTCCGCACTTCGGGAGCAAAAGTGCAGTAACATGAACACCATGCGGCAAAGCAGCTGAGAAATGCAAGGATTCTCGGAATCAACAACCATAGGCGTAGAGGGCACTTTGTGCTGAGATTGCAGCTCAAATAAAGCCTTGCAAGCAGATCTGAAACTGAAGTGAATGATGACTGAGTGCAGACTGCGTGCATGTCACTTGCAGCTACACTTACTGCGACGGTTGGTCAAGGCAAGTGCAGCGCCTGAGCTTGCTCTTCAGTGGCGCATAGATCGAAAATTGAGACGTAAGTGAAACCAGCAGTGTCGAAGCCAATGCCGCCTGTGTGCGAATAGGCCAGGTCTCTTCATGGTACCAATCTATATTACTATTTCTATTACTACTATTACTATATTACTATTGTTCCTATCACTACGATTATTTCAATTAGTACTTTCAAACCATAAATCCAAACCCTTGGCCTATCCCAGCATCTCCGCCGTTGTCATAGGACCTGAGGCTGAAACAACAATGCAAAACGACGGATAAGCTTTTTTGAATAGCCACGAACCTTCAAGTAAGGATAATAATAGTATGCTAATCTCATTAGTAGTATGAAGAATATTGCTAGTATTAATAGTCATAATCGTACTAATAGTGATAATGATCATAACAGTAATAATAGTAACAATCACACTCGCGGGTTGGTGCCAGCAAGGAGCCAACCGCCGTCTAGTCCGTGAAACCCCCTGGTCCAGGCAGATACCTTTTTCGGATCCAGCCTGAGACCTGCAGAGGAAGGGCAGTGGAATGGGTTACTGACTAGTGATCTGCCACATGAGCTGCAGTCTAACCTCCTTAAATTGTTTATATTGGGGATTATACAGGGGACAACTATAGGGTTTATTAAGGGGGATACTACGAGTTTAGAATATGGCTCACTCAGCAACGCCAAAAGATTTCAATTGCCATGGCCTGATCTGGTTGAGACCTTCTGGTAATTGATGCCCGCCGAGTTGTTGAAGTTCCTTACAAAGGCCATCTGCCGGTTCAAGATCGCTGAAAATTAATCTGTCACCCAGCGCAGCTTGTCTTCTGTTCAAGGCTGGCATGCTTAGCGCTCTGTGGCGTCGCTGAGGCTAGCCCAGCGTCACATTTGTAGAATCCCAGAAAGAAGACTTCAGAAGGCCAGCATCTTCCAGGAACAGCACCTTCTGCAGCCCAGCAAAGAGTGCAGGAAAAAGACCAAGTGGACTTCTCGCCTTCAATCCCGAGAACAGGCTAGGAGGCGATGCCGCAGTATTTGCAGTTGGCAACTTCCTGGCAGTCTGGCTCAAGCCATGACGAAGTGATGGAATCACTTGGATCAAGCACATAAGCGTCTTTCCTGTCGGCTCTTGCCCAAAACAGTTTTCGAACTGGGATGAACTCAGGCCAGTTTTGACGATATGCTGAATGCATCCCAGTCCTCACCATGCTCTCAAATTTCTTCCTGAGTTCGTGTGGCTTTGCAGCCTTGCTGCTAGGGGGTTATATAGGGGTTATGTTAGGGCTGCGTATATAAGGGCTATATAGGGGTTATATTCGGAATAATACTGAATAATGGAAAAGACAATGGAAACTACTATTTAGGGTTAAGGCTTCTTTCAACCTCTCACCTGCCTAATGCACACGCGATTCTGAGCTGAAGAGCCAGGCGCTTTGGAAAAAATGGCAGCTATCACTGGGATGCATCAAGCGTCATGGCCGCTGGGCTCTCGAGAGCGGTGCTGGCAAGCATGACCTTCCGGAATCAAAAAATCCCCAAGTGAGTCATATATCAGGCGACTAGGACGCATTTGACCCCAACATTTTGAATATGTTGTTAAGGATTTTTGTTGAGGAAGCTCAGCACGTAATGTTACATGTTTCCCAGGCTTCCTGAACATGCTGGGGGAAAAAGCAAAGCACAGTCAGGCGTATACAGCTTGACAAGCGCCCACCAGCGAGCGCTGATGATCAGCACCTAGATGACAGTCAACGACTTCCAGATTCCTTGCAGCAGACATGTGCCAACAGGTCTTTGCTCTCGCATCTGCACTTTCATCAGTAGCTTCGATCATTGCACAAAGAAAACAACCGTAGCGGACCGTCGCAAAAGAAAGGAATCTCAGCATGCCAAGGATCGGAAGCCCTGGAGCATATTTCTCAACAGCTTCTGCTGACCCAGTCCTTTGCCGGCTGCGGCCTCGAAATTACATGGGCGCTTCAAGAATCATGTCGAATGGGCAAAACTTGGTTAATCTACAAAACAACCAACTCCATGCTCCGAGTATGCTTGCTGAGCTACCTTCGTAAGAAGCCACGCCGCCAATCAGGATCAGGGATGCGGCAATTGCTAAAAGCCTGTCAGCCAAAACATCAACCACTTCAATTCATGTTGGCATACTAGATTGCCATGAGGGCACTGTAATTTACTGTAATACTGTAATTTAGTTTTTACGCGTCCTTCGAATGCTGCCAAACGCTCTGGAGGCGCAAGATATGTTGGTGCATGGTGTTGCCCATTCAGCACACAGCAGACTTCTTCACATGACAGGCCTCGGAGCGGACACAAAGGTCGTCCAAGAGTGTCCTTGGCAGGCCCAGTGCCGTTGTTGTTGCCAATTTTGTTGTCTCCTACTCTTACCTGTGTGCAGGGACGCCTCAACTGGCAACCATGATTCGGACTTAACCTGCCACGAAAACTAAGCTTGCTATTGCAATGTTGCCATGAATCTATGCACGACTCGTTGGAAAGGCATTGCTTCTTCTGTGTCACGGCTAAGTGATCGCCGATCGCACATCACGTCCCGCAGCAGTTGCTCAGTCTCGCATCGCTGCAACATTGCATCATAAAAGGGAACAAGTCCACCTGTTCAACTACAAGCTGCATGAGGAAGGCCATGCAAGTTGCTTTGCGATGTCCATAACGGGCAAAGGATGCCACAGCATGCCCTGATGTTCCTGGTTTATGCTCAGATACACCCTGTGCAAAGATCTTCGTGCAATCCTGCAAGAATAGGCATCATGGGCTCAATATAACAAAGCATGGGAGCCATCATGCTCTGGAAATGCTCTGGCGATGAAAGGACTTGTTCCTGTGACGACTTGCACCTCGAGCTGAAGAGAGTCTAAGTTGTCCCCGCACTCTGCAAGCCTTTGTCTCATCTCAGCACTGGAGGTATAAGCCAGCCCTGCTGTGGCTTCTTGCCTTGCCGTCTTGGCCCAACATGGGTACACTTAAAACTGTAGAAGCTCGCGCGCATGGGTCGAGATCTCTTCCGGTTAGCATCTTGGCCGTGTGTACCACGCACGTGATCTAAGCGAACGATACAACGATACCTCCATGCACCATTTAGGTGCGAGCACGGTCTCCTGCCTTAGTGCGGCCCATGAACGCCTAGTAGGACCAACTCTAAAACACGGAGTCGCGCGTGGACGGGCTCGCTGAGACTACGCTGGTCTGAAGACTCCGTGTTTCGAGTCACCGCTCGCGAAAATTTTCTAGGAGGCACTGACAAACCTGCCTTTGAGGCCGTGGCTGCCAGCTCAGCAACATCTGGCTGGGTGCAGCATATCCAAGGTTCATGCAGCCACTTGAGTTGTGCACCAAGGCATCCGAAAGGGCCTGCGAGGGCCTTTCGGAGAACTACGCAACAATCTGCTCGAGCTCAGCCTTGGACAGCTCCCCATCCATGGCTTTCCGTGCCTGGCAGGCACTTACAGGCGAGCAGAATCGCAGAGCTCCAACGCGTGGGGGGGGCACCTGTTCCGCAACTTCCGAGAATTGCTCATTCCCGGGCTGCCACTTCAGAGCAGTGTTCAACGTGCGGACCTTGGAGATGCTGGCTCAAGGACAACTCTTGTGATGGGATATGGGTGGTTGTCAAAATTATCCAAAAAGAAACCATAAATTTGACAACCACCCATATGATGGAATAGATGAGGCGAAGCACGGCAACGTCAAAACGCTTCCGCTTCATCAGCTCTCTGCCAATGTTGATCAATGCCTCTCGTTGTGTCGTAGTGACTGAACGTGGTCACTGTGGCACAGTTTATCCCATGCGACATTGTGACATGGACAACCTGAATCACATTTATAAGTACATGCACAACTGCAACCAAGTACCTCTGGATATTCCGGCCAATACCTTAGGTTTGATAACTTCACGCTCAAAACCCATCCAGAAACTAAAGGTTCGCAATTAGCAAACGCAAGCCAGGGCACGTAACTGCTCGCACAAACTCTCGCCTGGCTTGAGCGGTCCGTGGGGGCTCCAACTTCATCAGCGCAAAGCCTGCATATGAAATGAAGCAAGATTGAAGCAAGCGCACAAGGTTGCGCAAGGTTCTCACGGGGTTGCTGCTCAGGTCGGCAGTGCAAATTCCAACTTTGCTGTTGGTGCCTTTGCTGTTGTGCAGCTGGGCGCGCGCAGCTAGAGCTCCCATGGCATCCTCTCATAGCAGAAGCTCCACACTCAAGGATTCGCTGCTCAGCCAACTCTGAAAACTTTCACAGGGTGAGTCACGCAAGCTTTGTTCATGTAGCAGCTACGAAGGTCCTCAGGGTCCAGGCTGTCTCGCACCTCATCGAAATCTTCTTCGACTTCTTCAAACCTGAGCGCTGCGCGCTGCGATCTTAATCCAGGCCGGACTTTGCATGCAACAAGCCCAATATGCAGTTTGCACCAATTGCTGTTAGGTGGCTCTGCCAGGGCACTAGGGAAGTCCTTCAGAGCATTGTACCTGAACGCAACATGCTCAAACTTCGCCGCAAAGTCATGTGTATATATATATGTATATACACATATGAGTCAAAGGATCAGCAAGCATTCCGCATTCCATTTGCAATGAGCTTGTCCAACTTTATTTGCTAAGGCATGTTGCATGCGCCCAAGCTCGAACTGGTCGATGGGAGTAACCTGCACAGAGAGTCTGTGGCACGCTCAGGTGTTCCAACCTTTCGCATTTAGCTTGGCTGTTCCGAGCTTTGCCAAGGCGGCCCCACGGGTCACGTGTAGAACGCCCATATGTAGTACATGCGCATCACACGTGATAAATACAGTGTTTGCATTTGCGCTCGCCATGGACCTCGCATATGAACAGTTAACACCTCCTGGCACAGCTTGGAGCAGAATGCCTGAAGACTACGGAATGGCTGCATTGCTGGCGCTCCACGAAGTTTATTGGTGGGTTCGCATGTCATGCCGCGAGCAGTTGGGACAGGCAAGTGGCCTCCTCCTCTTGTGTGATGAACTTCAGCTTTTGCCTTGCTTAGGTCGAGTCGTTTTAAAAAATAATGTCAGACACACGGTTGCAAAAGTAGTCTTCTCTGCTTGCTTGAAGGCTACGCGTTGATCTTCTCAATCAGCCAGCGCTGCTCCCAGTATGGCTTGGTGATCAAGTACAACGACACCTGCGTCGAGCTGCGCAGCCATCAATGATTGAAGAAGACTTTGAACCAGTGCACGCTAGGCCGCGTGTCTTCAAGATTTAAGCATGCACATCTCTGCAGCAAGAGGCACCAGAATGATCAAGACAGACACGATGATGTAGGTCCAGAAGAAAGGGTCGGCCCCATACTTTTCCAGCGGAGCCAGATCCCTCACAAGACCAAGCTGGCATTCACGTTAAGTGAGACAAGTGCTTGCTCAAAGCCAGCTTCTAGCAACTCTTCCAGGCAGTAGGTTAGACTGACTGGGAGCATCTGCCACGCGGACAACTGATTTATCTGATTTGCAAGCCCAAGATGCTGAGATTCGGCGGCCAGCACCTAAAGCAACGACTCAACGCGCATCAACGTCACTCTGCGTGCTACAGAGAAAGTTGATGCATGTGCGCCAGGATGCAATCTGGCCAAGATCTGGTGTGGATGTCTGCACATGCCTTCAATCATCAGTTGCTAGACAGCTAACGCATGAGAGCCAAGTCCGAATAGTTTCCACAGGGCGCAGTCAGTGCTCCAAGCCTCAACAACTCACCACCTTGGCTGCAATGAAAATGCTGCGCTGACTTGCTGTCAGAAGTCTCATTCATCTGTCCTGAAACCAATCTCTGAGTCGGGCCACTGGCTTGCGGCGCGAGAAAGCATCGGCTAACGCCAGCTGCCAACAGCAGCGCCTAGCATCCAAAACTTACGAGCGTTTCACAATTTCGGTTCCCATTGTGGGATTATACACGTGGGATGCTGGGCTTGATGGTAAGTACCCACGTGATGAAGTCACGTGCATGCTCCAGGAACAATGTTCCCCCTCGCCCACAAGCTCGGTTCCGTGCGGCAGCGCCACAACGGCGAGCAACACGCGGCATTCTGGCAAAACCCTAAGACAGCTGCAGACATGCAAAGAAAACTTTCTGTCATTTTCTGTCATTGTGTTGTCACAGCTATCAACTGGACCAAGTGAAGGAGCAGGCGCTGCAGTGCATTGTTTTGATCTCACATGTCTTTCTCACCACCCTGATCCCGTTGCAGAATCGGCTTCTATGGGGCAACCCCGTGTACCCAAACACTTGTGTGGTGCAGTTTGTACTTCCTCTGTGGCCAACCCCGGCTCCCTAGTTTTGGTAGTGTTTTTGCACAAGCCCGGCCAAAACCCTCATCCCTGAAACGAGCGTTTTGGAAATGCTCTGCCAGCAGCCTGTTCCAATCTGAGCTGCATGTAGCTCTGGCAGTTTGAGTGAGTGAGTCTGGCTGTCTAGCTTTGCTGGTACTCTCCCTTTTTGAAGCAAACGAACCAGATGTCAAGTGAAACTTGGACAGGCCTTTGCAAGGCTCAACCACCTAAAATTCCTCATGCACAAGCAGTCTTCTCTGCCGCGTGCACGAAGAAGTCGCAGTGAATGTTGGCCTGTGAGTCAGGACTTTCATCAAGCAAGGTAGAGTCCTGCTGCTGTAGCCAGCTCATCAATGAAGACTTGGCATGGCCAATTGAAGGCCAAGATTGCCCATGACTTGCAAGCAAAAGCTTTCTAGCTGACGGCACGGAGAACTCTGATGGAATCCGGAATCCACGGAGGATATCGCGACCTGTCAGCGAGCCTTGCTTCTTCAAAGCTTCTCAACCTCCTTTGGGAGCAGCGGGGGCGATTTTCAGGTGGCCTGCTCAGCTTAGCTCCATCGAGGCCAAGGTTTGCTTCAGCTGATGTTGGTCTCTTCGGCTTGGCTTAGGGGAAGGTCATCACACGGCGCAAGTGGAAGGGATGTGTAGCTCATCGCGCTCTTGCTTGGCACTCTGCTGCCAGAACGCCCTGATAGGACATGCTCAAACTACCACCTGAAACCTGTCTCTTCAACAAGGTTCGATACATATCTCTGTATGAGTCATACCACTGCAGAGAAATTTCCGAAGCGTACTCGCCGACAACGTTGGACTGAACCATCTCCACACAATGTACCGCTTGAAGAGAGTGCTCCACCCGACCAGTTGAGCCCATTCTTCGTCCTCGCCCCATAACATCCGATTCCCAGCGGAAACCGACAGCGCAAGCAGGCTCGGAAGAAGCATTCGGTTCATAGGCCGGGCATGGGGTACCGGAAGACCACCAAGGCAGACTTCCCGCCTGGGAAGCGTTGGCGTCATCTTGCCAGGTCAGACCTGACTCAGAAACACAGTCAACTCATGGCGGAGGCTTTTCCCTTGTGTAGCCAGCAGCAATACACAGTAAGTGGGCATCTTTCTTCAATGCAGATTTATGCCAATTCCATCCAATTCCTTTCTACAGCTCCAATGACCCACTGCGATTTCTGGAACTTTGGCTGGCATTTTGCCCAAAGCGTTGGCCACTGCTTTGCAAATGTCTGAAATGAGCTTATCAGCGAGCTGAGTGCCCATGGTGACACGAAGGAGAACAACAACTTTCCGGCTTGTGTTCTACACAAGCAGGCTCAGAAAGGACAACTCGATATATGAACTTCCACTCTCACCTTCCTTAGCCTTTCATGTATCACATCCCGACCCTGCTAACGGCGAAGAACATCCGACCCGCTCAAGACCATCCGCAAAACCTAAACAGCTCTGCAAACTTCGGCGCGTATTCGACCTCCCAGGCTGCCCCCTACAACAAATGTTTGAAATCCATCGACATTCGCGTTGTTTGTGTTTTGTGCGGATTTGATTCCTGCTTCGAAATACTCCTGAACACGGAGTCTGATATTGGTTTGAGAATAATAATGTACTCGGGGAGTATTGTCGAATAGGGAATGACCCCTAACCCACACCGCACGCCCCGCGATACTTCTAGGGACAGTGAAGCTTCAAGTCCAAGATCTTCAGATGAATCCTTCTGTAGAACAGCTTGACTCAAGGAAAGCCCACGCCTCTAGGAGTCCCCACTTTGAAGATGTCATGCAGATACCGTTCGCTCTGGGGATTGGCAAATGGCGCTCCGGTTAGTAGACGAGGACGGCGGGGCCAGTCAAAAGGCACTGTGTCCAACAAATCAGAGCAAAGTGCATCCTCGTAGAAACGTATGCTTTGAATGCGCCAGGCGTTGGGGACGCCACTGTTGGCCACCATCCTCCATCGGCTGGACATGAACTTGTGTCTGGTCTCATTAGGGCAGCTGGATAGCGAGTTGTCTTCAATTGCTGTACTGACATTCACCAGCGACTCTCCCACTGCATTGATAGCAACTGCCACTAGCTCCGTGCAGTTCGCGAGTGGAGTATCAAAGGGAATCTGGAATCGACTTGATCCCACTGCGACTTGCCCCAAAACAAGCACCTGATCATCTTCGCAAATGATCTTGATTCTGTAGGCATCAATAGCTGAAACATCACTTGGCTCCAGCCAGGACAGGTCACCACCGATTTCATTAGTGCTGAGATCCTGGTCCCAGAAGAACAAGTTCTGCACCCCATATGGCGGAAGGAATCTATCGACGATTGCTGAGAATGTGCCAGTGAGTGCTGTACCGGCGGAGTTCTTCGTGTAGACACCGACAAAGGAAAAGTTCGCAAGGTTTCGCCCATCGGGCACTGTCAAGCTGTTTGTGCCAACAGCAACCTGGCCTAGCAAGGAAAAATCAGATGGCGTCCCTGCGCTGTCTGTAAAGTAAACGATGTAGTCTGTAAACTGAGATGCATCCGTAGGATTTACTGGGGGTGTCCAGGAAATCGTTCCACCTACAGTGCCGATGCCCGGATCCAGATCAGGGAAGGCCACTGAAGATACCAGAGCGCTTGGCAAGGCGCGGTCAACAATTAATGCAGACTGCCCTGGCCCTTCGCCAAAGCCGTTGTTGGTGTAGACGATGATATATCTCAACGTGAATGAGCCTGTGCCGAGAGATGTACCCAGTCCCACCACACAGCTTGAGAAACCAATTGCAATGTTCGCACAAATGGTTTGCCGTCCGGTGCCAGCAGAGTCGATCGCCACAACAACTGAATAGTGAGTGAGGCCTGTGGTGACTGCTGGTGCAAGCCAAGTAATGGAACCACCAACTGTTCCCAGAGACAAGTCAACATCAACGAAGGACACACTACCGACAGACACTGTCGGAAACACGTTGGTCTTGTCAACTAAGGAGATGCTGATGCCAGAAGGAGCCTCACCCAGAGCATTCTTGCTAAACGCGAGAAAATGGGTTGACCCGCCGGGCGGAGCTGTGTTTGTAGAGATCGAGAATGTAGCTGCTGTGCTGCCACTGGGTAGGCTCGAAACAGGGATTTCTCCAATCAGCGACACCTGCGAAGCTGCATTTGCCGTTGCAGAGTTTCCATAGTATGCCGTATACGATGTCACATCACTTTCAGAGCTTGCTCGCATCACCGTGAGAGAACCCCCAATCTCACCACCATCCATATCAATGTCATCAAACTGAAGCTGTGCAGGAGGATTGGCGGGTAGCGCTAGGTCAACTAACACGACTGTGACACCGGTGGTCATGTAGCCGTCATCGTTGCCCGTCAAGACCAACAAGTACTGCGCTTGGCTCGGAACCGCGGTGCCTATGGGCAATGTATGGTTAGGGCTCACAGGTCCCTGTGGAACCTCTGCAATGAGTGAAAGCGCCTGCTGGAAAGCATTGGCAAAGTAAATCCCATACTTCGTAATGTCAGTCTCATCCGTAGCTGCTGTTACCTCGATCGTGCCCGCGATCTGGCCACCCAGCAAGTCTTCATCGGTGAACGAGACAGACTGAGCCGGAAAAGATGGAACGAATCTATCAGTAGCCAGTATTCCTGGACCAGTTGTCATTTCACCATCTGCGTTTCTGCTCCGCACCACAATGTAAGGATAGCCGGACAACACTAGAGTGTCAGTCGGCAAGAAATGAGCTACATCGCTTCCAGTAGCTGTTACTGTGGCAATTGTGGGCCCTGGCGGACCAACTGCAGCCACGGCAAAATAAAGAGCATACGATGTGATGATGCTTTCATCACTAGCAGCTCCTATAGTAATGAATCCGCCAATCTCTCCTTGGACAAGATCCAAGTCAACAAAGGCTAGTGATGTTGCTGGATGCTCTGGGATACCCTGGTCATAGACTAACGTGCTGGCGATGTCTGCTTCATTCAAGCCATCCGCGTTCATAGTGTATGCTAGGATGTGAGTTCCACCTGATGGAATGGCTGTGGATGTGAGAGCATAGCTCATGGGATTTGTGGCGACTGGCAACTGCGCGATGTATAGCAAGAAGTTAGTAGGCGAGGATCCCCAGTACAAAACATAGTTGGTCACATCCGATTCGCTGGAAGCCCTCGCAATAGTTATTGTTCCTGTAACTTCTCCGTGCTTGAGATCTGTGTCTGTAAATGACACTCCACTGGGACCTTGCGCTGGTACATGGCGGTCCGTGAAGGCCAGACTTGAGGCAGAACTACTTTCTCCAAACGAGTTTGAGCTGTACACCAAGAAATGGGAAGCATACACTCCCGAAACCTGCGGAATAGCAGTCCCTGTGGGTACAGTGTATGAGGGCGCGAATCCAGTGGCCGGAAGGTCGAAAAATGGCAGCAGCTTTACGGTCGGTGAAGCTCCCCAGTACACCTTGTAGCTGTCAATGTTTGCCTCAGATGATGCCTTGACAAAGGACAGCACACCCTCAATTTCACGAAAGTCCAGGTCCACGTCAAAGAAGGCAACGAGACCTAGCCAGGCTGCCTTTTTGGGAGCCCCTAACTAAGGATTATAGTACATTTGAGTCTACATTGGGGATCCCCTTTTTTGGGAAAAGGTGCCACCTGCCAACTCTGTCGGTACCTGTGCCAGAGTCACTCCGAATCCACACAGAAGAATTCGGCGCAGGAAGCCGGCGGCTGAGTTTGCTGATGGCATTCAGACGTGTCTACTTTACTGGGTTGCTGTTAAGGAACTTAGAATGGGTATATGTAATATCAAACTTCATATGGTTGCCCCAATGTAGTAACTTAAACTAAGTTCTTAAAAAGCAACCCAGTCAGAAAGCTAGCTCCCACGCAGCTCTGAAGGTAGAAGTAGCTTCTCATTTCAAAGGGCTCCCACCCTATGTCCAAACATGGGAATACCCATCTCACGAATTTGGTAAACTCCCGTGGAACTGTGGGCACATATTTCTGGCTGGAGCCTTGCAGGACATGGACCTGATCAAGCATACTAAGCAGGCTGTCAACAGAGCGTACAAGTACCATGTGTGCACGAGCAGTTTGATTTCTGCACATGTGCTGTCCACCATGGTGAAAGGTGAAACTAGAAACGTCTTGTGTTCCAAGGGAAGTCAGAGTGTCATTGCAACCTTGCCCTCAGCACCTTCAAGGTTAATGCCACCTGAGCAAAGCCACCAGAAAACTCGAGCTGCTGCACAGCTTCCAAAGAGCCACAGTTCTGCCTGCAAGCGCTGATCCTCGTCCAAGAATGTCAGCTCCAGGGCTTCCCTGGGGCCAGGATGTGAGGTGTTGCAAGTCAAGCGTGACCGCATTGCCGCCGTCCTGCACAATGGATCGCTGAAGCGTAGCACCAGGCTATCCGGACTGGCTCCGAAGCTGATGTCCACCACCTATCCAGCAGGCAGTGGTACCCTTGTCTTGACACTGAAAAGGGGCTCCTGCCTGGCTCAGCGGTATCCGCATCTGCTGCCCTGACCAAAGACCAAAGCGCCAAAGCCCCAACCCTACAGGCAGACACGAACTTAAAGGCGGAAGCTGGCTGCCTGTGTCGCCTGACCCCATGTGCAGCTCCAATGTTTTACAGTCCTGCGAATCAGGCTTCTCTCTGGAGACACATGCAACAGTCGCACAGCTGGGGATTACAAAGAGTCCTGCGATACGCAAAGTTTGTGCTCCACATCCTGCATCAATGAGGCAAGGGCCCCACATGCAGACAGCTGCATTGTACAGCCTTGTGTGGAAGTCGAACAGGAACTCCCATCGCCAGCACTTGCAAGGTTTGATCCTTGGCTCAGTTGGGCAACAGTGTCGGTAGCACTGTTGGGCAGGGTCTGTTGCTGTTGCTTCTGCAGCTGCCCCGGAGCTCTCGGTGTGTTCTGTGATTCCTCTTCAGGTTGCCCAGACTGAAGGCTCTCTGAGGACAGGGCAACCACGCGCTGAGCCTGTCACATTAGACGACCCTGTTTGTGGGTGGGCATAGCTGCAAGGCGACTGCTTGCAAACGATGCTAACTGCTCTGATTGAGTGAGAGTAGGCAAATTTGTGCCTGCTGAAGCTGCTTCTTGCTCTGGGCAGGAGACCACCTGTAAGCTGAGCTGACGTGGATCGGCAGCTCAGCTTCTTGCCAGTCAGGTCTTGGGCGGCTACGAAGTCGTCTTGACCCTGGCCAACATGTTCAACATGATTCGTTCGGTCCAGTTGTCTGACATTGTCTGACCGTTGGAACTTTGTGCCAGCAGCACTCATGGAAACCCTTCATGTCTCGAGTGCTTTCCTTTGAACCTGTTCTGCCCAATGGAGATCTTCAACAGCTCTCGTTTCAAGGAGGATGCTCTCAGGCTCAGACACTGCTGGCTGCAAGCCAGGACCTTGTTCAGTGTTGGTAAGTCTGCGAAGCACTTCCCGCTCACATGCTTTCTGAGCTTGCTCCGGAGTTCAAAACAACCTCCGGGTCCTCCGGCACAACATTGTCTGAGCACAGCTGAGCTGAGCCCCATGCGGCTTCTGTGCGGCAGTCACCATTCGGCCTCGGAGAAGGTGCAGCATGAACAATGAACAGCCCTCTGCGATCCTCTGCGGCCACGCGGGTCTCCGTATATGCAGGGACATACCGCTAAGCCCTCTTGCGCATCTCCGCCAGCCTGGAAGAGTGCGGAGAGCTGCCAGCACAGGAAGTGGAGAGCCCTTGGCAACAGAGCTTCCTATCATGGGTCTTCCTATCACATCTACAGAAGCAGGCATTCCATCAGCCTGATGGCAAAACCCTCTGAATCATGAAGTGGAGAAGGCTCCGTCAGAAGCCCTTCAGAAAAAGCCCATGAGGCACGCCGACACCGAGCTGAAACTTGGCAAACACTTGCGTGACCCAGACAGCCTAGGGGCTTAGGAAGCACAGCAAGCAGAGCACTGCATGGACCGGTCGGAACTGTTGCCGCGTTCAGCTGTTTGCAGTACTACAAGTAGCAAGGATCTGAGAAAGACATCCTGCCCATCAACCAACCATAGCAATTCCTTGTCAAGCCCTTTTGACAATTTAACGTGGCAATGAAGTTTGCCTCACCAGGAGTCATCTGAGAGGACGTGCATGTTACGCGATCTTGCCAAAATCCACTCATGTGACCGAACGAGGTTCTGCACACTGAGAACCAACCCCAGCACAAGATGTGCAGCAAGGCGAACACTTGTAAGCACGTTGCAGAAGCCTACACACGATTCAGCAAGTCTTGGATCAAGATCAACTGGCTACATGCACCTAGCAGTTGGGGGGGGGCATTGCTTGGCACATCATCTTTACTTCTTGTCGTGTGTAGCCTTTGCTTGTTTTCTGCTGCAGATGCAGCCCATAAACCTTCTTTAATCCCTGACTGCAAACATGTACCCCTCTTGGGATCGAGCCCATCTGCAGAGACTGCCCCACATCTCTCACGTCTTCCCTGGTTCAGCACTGAGCCAGGATCTACTGGGCGGATCGTCTTGACACAAGCTTGGCCAAGCAAAATAGTGTCCATTTATGGGCTGAGCCAACCAAATTACATCCCGCAAGCGAATTTAGTAGTGAAGGGTAATGTTTGTTTCTTCTCTTCACTGAATCACTCGAACTGCATAACGCGCAGCTCTGCAATGCGGGAACCTTCTGGAAATTTGGAATGCTGAAGTACTACAGCTTCCTGCTGCCTTTTCAGAATGTAGCAGGCCATAGATGTCAAGCTCCGGGTCCATCTGCGATGTGAAGCTCCAAGAATGCTTTTTTGCGGTGTCAGGGCTGCGCTCATTCCCTGAGGGAGCAGTCAGCAACAGCAAATCCTGAACGTATCTACCGACTCTAACTACCGCGTAGCGTCAGCGAAGCTTTGCGCACGAAAATGGGGCACTCCGCCAATTATCCAGAATGGGATCATGTATGATCAACTGAACTGTCTCCAAGCACCTGTGGGTGTCTGGCTGAAGCTGGGCGTATTGCGTTCCACATGGGGATGACATTTCTCATCGCAGGGCCCTCACTTGCGAGACAGAGTTTTGCACCATTCTGATAAATGAGGCTGAATTCTCATTTTGTGCTGCTCTTTGAACAACACCAACCTAATTTGCCCACTGGCCCTAACGTGCAGGGGTTACTACAGCCATTGGTGACGTTGAAGATGGCGATCTACCTTAGCACATGCGTCTGCAACTTTACATCGAAGCAGCTCCGAGAGAGTGCCTGGCCTTGAACTGAAGAGACTTCCCAGCTGCGCTCCTGTTGAGGCGAGCAATGCCCCTCCCCGCTCCTGACTAATGTTAACCTCTGTCAAACTCAATGGTAACAGCAGCTCTTCTTCTCATCTTGAATCCGATCTACCAGTTGGAATCTATTGAGAAATCGCAAGAATGAGTCACACCCCATTGCTGCTGCCGGAATCAGCAGCAGACCCTGCTGCTCTCTGCTGTTGCCTATTCATCACAACCATCTGCAGTAAACTGCGGTACAAGTAAGTCCGTAGATCCTCCGGCCAGGAAGTGGCACCAAATACATCGGCCCACCAGCCAGGCCATGCGGGCAGCTTCGGCCTGAGGCGAGGAGTTAGAATGTCAAGTGCCTCCAATTACTGGCTTGCCGGCTTTCATACTCAAGTTGCCAGAATTGAGGCCTTGGCTGGCTCCAAGCAACCTCACAAGGCATCAGGCGCAAAGCCTGCAGTCAGAATTCTCCAGGCTGAGCTTCTGACGTCAGGACCAGCACCCTCGTCTGGTGCAGAAGCATTGCTAGCCCTTGACAGTTGGCGCCCTGCACCACCAACAGACACACTCCCCTGTCTTCTATGTAATCAACCCTGCCTTCTGCCATGGAAGCACAGATCCTCTCAAATTCGTCCTCGACAGAGAGGTGGCCTGGCAAAGGGAATCACTGTTCAAAGCTAGCCTGTCAGGACATTCCTTTCTGCCTTCGTCTTGAATGTTTGATTCAGGAGGTTCCCTTGCATGAGCTCGTCTGGCCAGGTCAGCTACCCAAGATTGCATCCTGCCAGAGCAACGGCGTTCCTCTCTGTAGGGAAGAGTGGTGTATGCGAAGAAGGCCCAGTCCGATTCACTGCATCATCAAGGGGATTGGAGCTTGACGTTGAATGGAAAGGGTTGTCGCATTCCTGGAAAGGTGTGAACATGGCGCCCATGGCGCTTGCAGGGATACATAAAACTTGTGCTATGGCAGCCAAAGCACATCAGCCCTGTCAGCATCAAAGCGTAACCTGGCAAAGCAAGGAACCCTACGATTACTATCATTATGATAAAAAAATTATTACTATAGTATTACTATTATTACTGCTACTACCATCATTAAAATTATTGCTATTATTACTTTGCTTACTGTTATTACTATTATCATTGCTCCTCTCGCAATCATCGCAGTAGCAGTCATTGGCAAATCAGCTGACAAGCCCTTCTGGGGAAATGACTGCTGCGCGGCAGCTTCCATTGCTTGAACATGCGCGGGACCTTACTAACCCCGTTCATCATATCAGGATTACCACTTTTAGTATGATGAGAGTTATGAGTATGAATTGATGATGAATGGTATGAAGATTACCACTGGGATTGCTAGAACTTAGAATTATTAGTATGAATGTAATGATGATGTCAATGCTATTTCTACATAATAGCTGATTATGATTCAGTCGGTTGAGCTTTTAGGCAACGTCCAGTTTTCTCTTTGCGAGGCAGCGGCCCAGGCCCCCATCCAGTAGGCGACCACGCTCAACCAAGCCAGCAGCATTCTCCAGCCTGTCACCTCACTCTATCAATCTATCTACTCTGCTCCTCCAGGGGAGTTGTACGATTGTTGGTATGATTTTTGGGCACCTGGACCCTTAGGGCTTAGGGTTTAGACTTACTAGGGCTTATAGGGGCTATATGGGGATCAGCATGGCAATAAATTCCAAGTTGCAATGTGCCGCAAGAGCTCCCACTTGCTCTCTGAGCTTTAACACCTGCACCATGGCAGGCTCGAGCACGATGAATGCTGGAATTGGAACTGAAGCTGTACCGAATGGCCCAAACATATACCTCAAAAAACTCTAATCCTTATAGTAAGGACCCCATAAAAAGGTATCCCTTACTTTTTCAAAATCCCGAATCAAGGCACTGCAAAGGGCCTTCTGTCGAGCCTCTGCCAGGCCTCCCACGGTTCCAACCTGCAAAGCGGCAGTCGTGTGTACCCATTGGGGTAATAGTAAAGTTATATTGGGGCTATATGGGGATAATGGAAAAGAAAATGGAACCTACCATATTAAAATAGGGTGTGTATATATATATATACATATATATATATTGGGGTTTTACTGGGGCTATATGGCGATAATGGAAAAGAACATGGAAACTACTATGTAGTATATTGGGGTCATATGGGAAGGGTCAGGAGGACTTAGTAAGTAGGTTAATAAATGCTATAATCCATATAGTACTCCTAGGTATCCCCATGATTAACCTACTTATTAAGTCCCCTTGACCCTCCAAGTAGGGAACCGATACCTGATAAGCACATTCCAGTCGAGCTTTGAACGCAACAGAGCTGGCAGTGATTGCATGTGGAATGGTGTCAGGTTCTTCTGAATCCAGTTCCTTTCATTGAGAAAAAAGTGCCTGTCCTCAAAAGACCAAAAGCCTAGCAGCTACCCAGGAATGTAGGCCCATTGGCTTGCCTGGCATGCTACGTCACGTCCACGCTTCGGACTTGGACCTATCAACATACATGTGGCCACGAACAGTGAACACGGCCTCTGCCGATTTCTAGGCTCCGTGCTTCCTTCTTCAAGGACTACATCTGATGTCGCCACCGGCGGGCTGGCTTCCTGGTCCGACATTTTGCTGGCACTCCCTGGTCCCTCCCTCTGCACGTCTGCGAGAGCATGGCTTCAACCTGCCTTCTGCGACCCGCATGGAGAAGACAGGAAATGAGACCTTCTCACAGCAATTCACACATGGCTTCCCTTTTCCGGCCTGATGTTTTCCATGGCTGGGGTGCTAGCTTGTGGTGGCCATGTGCAGTCTGCGTACCATTCTGCCACGGAGGTAGTCCGCATGACAATCAACAGCATGCGCCCTCACAACCCAAATACCTGAATATCCTATTTAATACACGCCTCCGTTTGCAGGGATGGGCGAGACTGCGCCTGACAACATCGGCTGCAGAAATGCTCTGCCCTATATAACCCTATAACATGGTAGTTTCCATTTTCTCTTCCAGTATCCCTATATAACTCCAATATACTTTAGTAGTTTCCATGTTCTTGCCCCTATCTCCTAGAAGGCATATATATATATATATAACCCCAGTATACTATAGTAGTTTCCATTTTTCCGCCATCCCCTAGAAGGCCTGTATGCTTCTCTTCCGCATCTGATTTTTCGGCTGAGTAGGCATCCTTGCGGTCATGTAACGCACATATTGGGATAATATAGGGTAATATAGGGTTCTAGAGGGATAATGGAAAAGAAAATGGAAACTACTATATTACAATGGGGTATATATATGTATATAAGGGTTTTTATAGGGGTTCTATGGGGATAATGGAAAAGACAATGGAAACTACTCTATTATAATGGGGTATATATTGGAGTTTTATAGGGGTTATATGGGGATAATGGAAAAGAAAATGGAAGCTACTATATTACAATAGTGTATATATTGGGGGGTAATTGCATCAGGCAAGATTCCCAGTCTTCCACGGCCCACGCAGCCGTGACTGTGCCACCTAGATCGGCTGTGGCTTTCACAAAGCTGGGTTGCTGCTAAGGAACTTAATTTAAGTTACTATGTTGAGGAACCCATGTTCATTACCATGTAATATATATATATATCTGCCCATTATGGTAACTTGATTTAAGTTCGTTAACAGCAACCCAGAAAAGCAGCAACCTCAGACTGAGTCTGAGGAAGCTACGCGCACAAGCTTTGTTCTCGGCCTGGCAAGGAAACGCATTAGTAATTGATGAATCAACATGAGCTATAGTCTAAACTCCTAGTATTCCCCCTTAATAGCCCCTATACTCCTCCCCTATATAATCCGTATATAACCCCCTTTAAGGAGTTTAGATTATAGATCACATAGCACAAGATCGCGCAGAGGTTCTCCGTTCATAGTTTAACGAACAGAGCATTGAGTCGCGCACACCGACTTCTCCGCGGGGCTGGTCGGTGAGCCAACCCACCCTTCCTCCAGCCTTGTTTTGGATGATAATAACAATAAGAATCATAGTAGTACAGTGTTAACACAAGCAGTAGCAATGATGACAGCACTAGCAAAAAAAAAAACGAGAATAAAATAGGGTTGGATCAGTGCAGCTGTTTGCAATCCCCCTCAGGGTATTGCCGGGTGCTGATGGGACTGTGCCCGGTCCGCATTCTCAAATCCGGAGGCTCGCCAG